AGGGTATACATGTCACGTTATTATTATTATTATTATCATTCATCATCATCATCCTCATCATCATTACAGATACTATCTATATTACATTAGCAATACAACTTTGCACATCCAGTACCTGGGTTGTTCAACAGCACACATGTAGGCCGCATGCAGCATATCAGTTGGTTTTGTGCGCCTTTTTTTAAGTGGTGATTCTTGTCCAAAATCTTTACGAAAAGTGCTTACTAAATATTTTGCGTAATTTTTATACTGATTTAAGAAATCAAATAAATAACTCTGAAAGTATTCATTTAACATGATTCCATGACAGCACGAAATATCGACAGATTCTAACAAATTTTCAGGGGCTAAATTTTAAGCACCGTCCACCTTAGAGTATTCAATTTAAAGGAATGTTCTTTATCTCTATGGGTCCTATTCTCATGCGTGTGCCTGCACTTCATAATCTACTCGTAATTATTGCAGGCCAGATATTTGTGTTAGTATAATGGCAAAAATATTGTTGCAGGGTTGCTAGCAAAGCTGTCCGGAGTTAACTGCTGCCTAGCAACCGCGGTATCCCTTGGTGACGTCACCGCTGTTGACTCGCGTTCCATAGCTACCAGGATGCTGGGACTCGGCTATCTTCGGCTCCGCTCGGCGCGTCAGCTCCCGGGGGGGGGGGGCTTCCAGCTAGCGCGACACGTCACAATATGTTACAGTGCTCAATGGTAGATAGAGGGGTTCTATCTGATCATATTTTGTTGNAATCTCCGAACTAATGAACTCAATTCAGGAAGCAGTTGTCCAGGACTTAAGCATCAGACCTTCAGATTTTAACTGCACAGAGTTGGAGAGCAGCCGCTGCCAGTGGCCACGCGGTCTAAGGCATGAACTGTCCTCTCCCGCTCAAAGAATGGAATCGTGGGTACGAATCCCACTTGAAGCATGGATGTCTGTGTGCGTTTATTCTGTGTTTGTGCGGTCCTGTGTGCAGGTAGCGGCCTTGCGATGGACTGATCCTCCGTCCAAGAAGTCTTCCGACTGTGTATAGGATTAAGGAACTAAAAAAGCGGCCAAGGTCCAATAAAGGGCTGCAGAGCTACAGAGAGAGACAGAGAGATCCGTGAAAAGCAGAAGAAACACTGCTTCTGCACAGTACACTGTGGGAACAAAAGTGTGTGGATTGAATAAAACACACCAGCTTCGAATATATTTCCAATCATTGTGTTTTCCATGGGTAGAATTATCCGTGAATATTTGTAGCCCTCTTGCCGGAGAAGCGCGCCACTCAATGATATGACACTCTGTTCAGATGACGAATGGATCCCAGAAATACAGACGAATTCTGCCAATCTCTGAGCAAAAATCGTTTGTGCCTTCTTTCTTATGGGGAGTATACGTACTTTCAGAATGTGTTACATCTAATTTCGAAAATATCATTGGCCTTTACGTTAATTTGTTGCAGATACAAATCTACTGATGGAGAGCTAATACTAATGTCACTGCACACAGTCGGGAAACACTTTTCCGTAGGTAAAGTGAAACGTAAAATTATCTCTGTGCTTAGCTAATTAAGCACTATGCCATGAAGGTCGTATGGTGGAATGGGTGTATAGCTCCACATTTTCTTGACCTCAGCACTAGTTGGAGGTGAGTAGTTAGCTTCAAGCCCCGGCCTATTACCCCAGGGGAAAGAGTCCCCGGTACCCACTGAATAGAAGGTTGGGTGGACCCCAGAGCCGGTCTATACGACATGGAGAAGAGAAAATTCTTGCCCCTAACGGGAGTTAAACTCTTGCTATACCGATTGAGCTATCCCGGCCCTACATATTCCTTTATGAGTTCTTAAAAGTTTATTGCGCCAGAAATCGCTTCATATAAACATCGTAGGTCAAAATGAGATCATGCTCGAAGTTTTGTGATGGTCTCTTTTATATGTTAGAATTCAGCTTCGTGGCGATTTACGGAACCCATAAGGCCTGAAACTAATTATTTTTTCAACGTATAATCCCAATAAATTAAACATCCGGACCATTAGCAACATGGACATGACCTCATTTTGTGTTCACACAACACTCCTTTCGCAGTGAAGGCACAAGATAGCGAGAATTGCGTTCAGGAGAACAGAGTAATAAATTACTTAATTTTCTTTCTACGCCTTACACGTGCTAGCACAAAACTTCTACGTGGATTTACATCTACACGGTGATTCTTATGCTTGCTCTTTTTATATATTCCCTCGTCTGCACAATACTGGGCCGTGTACAAACTACTTCATAATGTAACGTGTTTGGCGTAGATACTTCCATGGTAACGCAATAACAGTGGGCCGTTGCGTAGGAATTGCAGAATCAATAAACGCGCTTCCCCAGAGAGGGAAGGTTCGTTGCGTAACAACGGAATGGCGAAACAGCAGAAACTGAACTGTGGGAAATGGTGTCTGGCATCCGGACCGAACAACGCTTATATACGTATAAGGGGGAACGTACCAGACATTCCAGAGTTGGCTAGACCCGTGTGAACGCCAGAGTTAGAAGACAGAGTTGAAACATAACCGCAGCAGTTGAAGAGTGAAGACGTTATAAAGGGATAATAATTGTACTTGAACGTGTAAGAGTGAGTGTTCAATAAATATTCGCCAAATCCGAAACCCACGTGAAGTTATTTGTCGCGCTGCATAGGCAACACGCGACAATATAGATTAAAATCCGGCAGTGTGCTATTTACAAGCATTGCGAGTGGACCGTTCAGAGTGGATGGAGTCGTTGAACACTTCAACTCCACTGTTGCTGGGATCCTTTGATTAAAACCCTGCTCAGTTTATAAAGTGACTGCTGGTTTTGCAGAGCCACAATTTAAAGCGGTTTTGAGAACAATGTAAACCCGCGAAAATTATTTATGTTCGCCTATTGTAGTTTTTTTTTCCCCCCAATGGTAAACAGAAGGGGATACAGTTCGCAGTCAACTCCTCCGTGCCGAATGAAACCTCAATGAAAATTGTCCTTTGAACAAACAGGAGACAGTCCTGCAAATTTTGATACTACCAACAAATATTTACACACGTATATATTTTGCAAATGTAAAATATTCGTGAGTTACTTTCTGTGTAATGAAACAGAGTAATGGATCTTTCCAATTGTGAAATACAATCGACTTTTGCCTGCTACTTTATATTCACTCAATAGCTCTCCATTCGGGCAATGTTCGTTGCATGCCAACTGAAAATTTCTGCAATATTTACATTAGTCAAAATTGTTATACAAAGACATGCCATTTGAAGGCTCGTCTGTGCGTTTTCACAGTTACAAACTGAAGTCAAAGTTGCTGCATAGTTCCCAGCCCCATGTTCTTTGAATTGCAAAGATCAAGAGCGTCAATAATAAAGTGGATAATTTCACAGTCCAGTGTGACATACAAGTTTACAACACTTCAGTCTTTATTCACCTTACATGTTTCGATTCAAAAGAATCATCTTCAAAGGCGCACCACTACGAGCAGGAAACACTGTCACATAAGAGGTTTTAACAATATGCACTTAAGCTATGAATAATGCAATAATAAGTGCATATGGTTAAAACATCTTATGTGACAGTGTTTCCTGATCGTAGCGGTGCGCCTCTGAGGATGATTCTTTCGAACCGAAACATGTAAGGTGAAAAAGACTGAAGTGTTGTAAACTTGTATGTCACACTGGACTGAAAATTATCCACTCTGTAATTGACAGTGTGACGGACCAGAATGAGACAAATCAAATTAGCGTCAATAATCTTCACATGACTGACATGGCACTTTCAACTGAAGAACTTAAGAAATTCGAAAGGTATGGGAAGAACTTAACGGGCAAGTTCGCACGAGTATAGATATGAAAGAAGAGGGGGACTCCCTGTTTTTAGCTTCTGTAGCGAAATTCATCTTGAGAAACCAAGGAAAACGAAGCAAACATTCAGGATAATCAACTTCAAGGATTAGCATGTAACTCAGAACCTCAAAAACACGAATCTATAATTCTAGTCACTTAGGCCAGTGTTTCTCAACCGCGGGGCCGCGTTCCGGTACGGGGCTTGGTCTCGTAGAAAAAATAACTTACCGGGCCGCAGTCTGACAAAGGTTTAGAACCACTAACCCAGAAAATTGGCTCAAGCGGTTAGGCTTTATCTTTGTATTCTGGAGGTACATGTTTAGAATTTATGAGGCCACATCGGGTATCCTCACTGAGATTCTTGTGGTTTTCTCAGTCCCTCCTGATAAATTGCGAGATAAAACCTCAATTAGTCCACGATCGATTCCTTCCAATTCATTACTGAGCAGTCTTCCTATCATTTCATACAGAAACACAAACAGGGAGGCAGTGGGGACAGCGCTACTGTAACTGCCACACAAAGCATAAGACATTCAATAATGGCATTTATGGAAACTGACATTCAGAGGATGCCTGAACCGTGAGGCATAAGTGTACTGAACGCCAAGCGTCATTCCTAGATTGTCAGCAGCCCGGTTTCAAATTGAAGGCGTCGAAAATCTCAAACCTACATGGAAATCTGCCAAGTAACAAAACTGTGGTGGTATAGGAATATTTGTAATGAAAATATCATATTATAGTGATAGACGTTGGAAAATATATTCACATAAAAACAGAATCCGTGGTTTTAGTCCACAAACAAACTATACCGACCGGGCGACCGCCGCTTATCGGCGTAGTTAGTGCCAAATTTAGGGGATAGAGGGTGTTGCGTGGTCGGCGCAACGAATCCCCACGGCCGTTAATTTCGGTTTTCTAGACCGGAGCCGCTATTTATCTGAAATAGCTCCTCCATTATCCTGATGAGGTTGATTGGATCCGGTTCCAGACCCACTACTTCTCAGGAAATCTGGTTGCGCCGGGAATCGAACCCAGATATCTGGATCTGTAACCAGGAACTCTGACCACTAGACATAAATTAATTAATGTTAGATTGTAATTTCGATTAATTTAGGTTGACTTTTCTCAGTGCCGTTCATTACAATTAATGTTCACTTACCTTAAAACATGTACTGCGTTTCGACGTCACTTGTCTGGGGTGCTGAGTTTTGCCAGAGACGATTCTGAAACAGAAACGACAACGAAATTCAGAACTCACAGAGCAGTTCTTTACGAATCGCAGTAGGTTGGCCGGAAAGCTTACTGCTTGAAGAACAGGAAGCGTATGTTACTTAATTTCGCGATGAACCTGAACTGTGCACTAAAATTTAATATGATCCACAAAAAGCAACATGAGAATGGACATGTAAAGGTAAAGGTAAAGCTGTCCCTGTAACAGGCCGTGGGGGCCAATGGGATTGTGAGACGTCGAAGCTCTCACATTTTCTAGACAGTCGACTCACAGATGGCGATGAGGTTGTCAGCCTTACGCGCCGGCAGCCCTCTACCCCCAGGAAGATTCCTGGTACTCATTTTTGTTACAGAATCAGTCGACCCCAGGGCCACAGTGCGGCTGGAAGGATTAGATCAACTGAAAAATTCAATGATCTCATCGGGATTGGAACCCGCGACTTTCCGGCTTGTAGCTCAGTGCCTCAACCAACTGCGCTACCGTGTGCCCCGGAAGTAGAGGAAAGGTCACTTTCCTGATAACACATTTTCAAGGGAATGTGAACTACAGTCTCTGCCGCCCAGCGTCCGAGACAGATGCACTGCAGGACACGCTGCCTTAAGCGATCTACTGAAAGAAGAAGTAATCCCAAGCCAAGGACTTTTGGTTTCTAAACGAGTTATTTGGTACTTAGCGCGGGAATAGTTCCATAAATTAATTCGAATTTATTAACATTTTAGTCTTATATCTCGTTAAAGCACAAATCTATCTTTCTTAGAAGAATGGATTACAGACGGAAGAGACAAACCCATCTTCTCATTAAACAGGATGTTACGTAATGAATATGACCACAAGAGTTCAGTTAAAAAATGTCTGGTCGTGAGACTCAAGGGCCTTGGCGGTAAACCACCAGTCGTAAAATAACTCTGACTTGCAATTAGCAGTCCAACTCCCGTGTCTAGTTTCTAAATCGTAATAATATGGTCAACAAATTCACAGGCCATCTCGCCTTCCATTCTCCGGTAGTTGATGGAGCTTAGTTTACTTAACTAATCACATATGAAGAGCTGGAAGGACGCGGAAGAAAGCGGCCGTTATCCTTTTCAGTTGCCGTCCCTGGGACTTCTGACAGGGAGTGAGGTGACCTTCGAAAATCCTCCGTTACGGCTATCAATTTGAGGACAAGGAATAAGAATCTGGAACTCCTGAAAGCAAAAACCCCTCAACCGCGGCCTTTGGTCCCTTCTAGTTAAAGAAAAGCAATGAACCAAGCAAACACTCAATCAATATAAACTAGGCCACTCGTAGTCATAAAATGCATGCAAATGCTTCACAGCATTCTTGGTCGATAAGCGATGGCATTCCGGTTTAAGTACAACAGAACNTTCGCTTAGTGGGGGGTGGAGTCAAAGTGGGTCCACTCGGCACGGTGGCCACTGATTGGCCTATTGTAGCCTGCCCCGGGTGATTATGGTGGAGAATTTGGTGGAATGAAGATTGGCAGCGGAAACCGAAGTACTCGAAGAAAACCCGCCCCACCGCCACTTTGTCCACCACAAATCCCACTTGACCAGACCCGAGATCGAAACCGGACCGCTGCGGTTGGAATCCAGCGACTAACCGCTTGAACTATGGCGCGGCCCTTTGTATACCAAACTCTAAATATTACAGGCGTATAACTTATAATTAATTTTCACTTAATTAATTTACTGAACGAGAATTGAAAACATTAGTGTACAAGACAAGAGGAGTGTGTTTCGCGCCGCTTCTCTGTCCACTTTCAATAAGAGAAGAACACTCAATTCACTTTGAAAATTTTCTGTTCCCTGCTCTGACGTTGATCGCTTAAATTTAAAGGTTTTCAGAATTTCCCTATACTTGTAAACAATGATATAAGTCATATAAATGCTGAAAAATCTGGTCTATATGGAAGCAGATTTGTAAAACTCCCTAAGATTTCCATTCAGAAATTATTACACAATTTTTTGGAGTCTTTAAGACTTGCCTCAAAAACTACTTCAAATAAAAGTAAAACTATGCGAAAAGATCAGCTACCGTTCAGTATCTGAAGCACTTCCCAATTCTTACGAAAATACTGTGACATGTCAAAGCATTTCCAGGCAAGGGCTCGATAAACACCCTGCAATAGACGCACACAACACCAGAACAGCGGTGTTATGCAACCCGTTTTTAGACAACGGTTCGGTAAACACACACCGGCATAGACAGGGACTTCACACGTCATTGGAGAGAGACCACGTGACGTGTTTTTCTGTAGGGCCGCGCCAAAAGTTTACAGGGAACAACAAAGATCGTTTGTGTGCAGTCGTAAACTGGAAGAGTGAGTACGGACTTCACTTGAGTTCCGAAAATCCAAGGGAACAGCCGTGTGGCCAGAAGAAGAATCTGAAGACTTAGGGCGTGACGTTGCATGTGCTGTCGTACATCGGTATTGGGAGTGTGTAATTTAGTGAGGTTTTCATAATGACCTTGCCAGGAAACGGATGGAGAAGACTAGTGGAAAGAGACCGAGAAGATTAGTGTAGATTGATTGTAAATTGTGTAAATTAGCAAGACTGTAAGAACTAATTGTAGTTACGACATGTAAATGGTCAATAAATCCAATTACCAATCCAAACCCCGTCATCAGTCACTGATACACGTGACAATATATTTTTTGCTTCCTTTGCAGTATTAAAATATCAAAATATCACCTCAGTTGTATACAAATTTATGCATTCAACGATCCATATTTAACTTTCTCATTTTAAGTCGGAAATGCTTCATTTGGTTACGGTACTTAAAGACGAATATTGCATCCAACGAAATCAAGAATAAGGTGCGTTGTTTCAACTCGACGAAAATATAGTTTTGAGGGCGACTTTCTTAACAATTAGAGACTCATTATCCGCGTTCTGCATGTTCGACATCGCCACATTTCACGAATTGCCCTGTACTGTGCAAATATGCAACTTCCTTCAACACAGGGAAAGGCTAGTCGTACTGAAATTTTGCCAATATTGGATGTCAGTGAAAAGTCCCAAACATTTTCTGTGTGTGTGGGGGGGGGGGAGAGGAAACACAGTATTCGCTTTTTCCAGTGGTTCTAGAATGGCTGTGGAGAAGAGATCAAAAACTCCCTATTTAAAGACTGCCAAAAACGGAGAAAGAATCAAGATATCTACATTGCTTCTACGTGGATATCCAAGCTCGCCAGACTTTCTGTTTTTGAGAACTTCTTCCGTGTCCGCCCTACGTCTCCATTCTTGGTCGCCGTGTGTGCAATTTCAGTATGGGAATTCGTAAACTGCATTTTCCCTCTGTAGAGGGAGAGAGTGGCTGGTCACGGTAGCCGAGCGGTCTAAGGCATGCACTGTCTTCGCTCGCTCGGAAGCCGGGATCGTGGGTTCGAATCTCACTCAGAGTATGGATGTTTAGTTTGTGTGTGTGTGCGTTTTTCTGTGTTTGTGTACAGGTAGAGGCCTTGCGACGAGCTGATCACTCGCCCAAGGAGTCCTACCGTATGTGTAAGAGGTTCATGGAGGTAGGCCTAGGCCCACGGGGGCTGTAGTGCCAAGGACAAAAAAATAACACGGGAGTTCTACATGTGTCACTGAATTACACGCTCCCAATACACAATGCCTTCTCAGTTATCACAAACTATCACTGATTATCATACATAAGATCTTATAATCACGCGTTCAGTTCTTCTTCCCGCGACTGACTGACTGACTTCTGTTCTGCCTCAATCGGACAGGCGGAAAACGCAGCTTGCTTCACTGTTGCGTGACGCCGTGTTTACAGAGGCGTTGCTTGGCAACGCTGCCGAGAGTTGTTTACTGCTGCGTAACAACCAATTGTGGTTCGGCTCGGTTCAGCACGAAGAAACACCGCTTTCCTGACTGTTGCGTAACTTGGCAACCGATCGTTTATCAAGAGTCTGTCTTCGTTGCCCAACAGCGGTTTGACATGTCATAATATCAATATTATGTAACTCTTGACAGCTTTGAATGCAGTCAGTAGGTACAGTGGTACTTAATCCACTCTTCTGTACTTGCCCACACTTGCATACACACCTGCAGTTCAGAACTGTGACGTAGAGGGCATGTAGGATACAAGAAGTGAACGTCAAATGTTGGCCGGAAATCTTAATGTAGGATATTACTTGGGCAAATTAGGGGGTAGATAGGGAAATGAAATTAGGATATATCTGAGAGATGGGCTTGTGCGATTGTAGACCAGATTCAGCTGGCTGAAATGGAATACAAAAATAGTTTCAAAATGAAATCACAAGAATGACGTCTATACTTCCTTTCAATCTATATGGAAATGAAAGTAAAACCTGAAAATCATATTCATGCAGTTTCATGAATCATTTTCTGCGCACAATTTCCTCTAACACAGATTCCCGATACAGTGGGCCTATATACGATAGACACAATGTCTTTCTTTGTAACGGTTAAAATACATACACATATAAATTTGCTTTGTGCGTGTTCATAATTTCCAACTGTTCATTAGTTTTTGCCATCAAATCTGAAACTAAGAATATATTTATTATATATTATATTATTATAGCTTTACATGTTTCTAAAAAGTAATTACAATAAATAATTCTGGAAATGGAGCCATTACCTCTCTCGTTGCATGTGCCCTCTTTTTCATGTTGCTGACGTTAGGAGACTAAGAAGCAGAAACACGAGTCTCTAGTTCCAACAAGCTCGTAAACCTCTCAGTTGTTTTGAAAGTTGCTTCATAAGATAGACACGATACTATCATGAGTAACGTGACGTCACGTAGTGTGGTAGAATTTTCCGAGTTTTGGAATAAAGTACTGCCTCCGTCTTCAGGGTTGAGGAGTAAACGGAACAACAAGCAGAACACTCTTCAACATTGAAGATGGAGGCAGTACAACCCTTCGAAACGAATGCAAACTTCTATAAAACCAAACCCCAGAAGGTAGCAATCACCTCCTTGAGTACCTGAAATCTCACACGATGTTGCCATGTTTCA